AGGGGCAGGTCGAGGCTGCTGTGAATAAGCACATCGTTCTGGAAAGTTTGGGGGGTAGGGAAGTGGTTCAGTAAAGACCACCCTTTCTGCTGTGGCAGCTGGTTTGACTTTGGGACTCAAATTTCTCTGGCAGCCCATGGCCACCATCTATTTCCCAGTTCTCCAAATCCGAGGGAAAATGTTCAGGCTGGGTAAAAAGGTAAAGGGACTCCTGACCATTAGGTCCAGTCATGACCGACTCTGGGGTTGCGGCGCTCATCTCGCTTTATTGGCCGAGGGAGCCGGCGTACAGCTTCCAGTTCATGTGGCCAGCATGACTAAGCCGCTTCTGGCGAACCAGAGCAGTGCATGGAAACGCCGTTTACCTTCCCACCGGAGCAGTACCTATTTATCTACTTGCACTTTGATGTGCTTTCGAACTGCTAGGTTGGCAGGAGCAGGGACTGAGCAACGGGAGCTCACCCCGTCGTGGGGATTCAAACCCCCAACCTTCTGATTGGCAAGTCTTAGGCTCTGTGGTCTGAGAAAATGGCACTTCAGCATACAAGCTTAGTAGCTGAGATTCTCTGTAAGGCTCAGCTGAAAGGTGGTCTTCTTCATGAATTCCTGAGCAGAACACCCTGCCTATTGACACCAGGGAGATGCCTTCACTTCACTCTTTTTGGGGCTTGCAAAAAACTTATTTGTTTAGGCAAGCCTACCCAGATAAACAACAACAACATATTTACATATGCCACCCAGCTGATTAGGTTGCCCCAGCTACTCTGGGCTGCTCCCAACAAAAACAGTAAAAATGTAGAAAGGGATGTGGTTGTGGACCATACGTTGCCTTTCCTGCAAAGTACTCAAGTTGAGACATGCTGCTCATTCACCCACACAGGCCAACCCTTGGAACTCCCTGCGATGGAACATGGTGACTGCCATGTTCTGGAAATAAATGGGGCCAAGGGTTGGAGGATGGAGCCTCAGTTGGGAGCTGCTGCTTCAGGTGGACAAAAGGAGCCTTCCCTCAACAATGTGTTGCCGATAGGATGCTAATGTGATAAATTCCCTAAAAGGGTCGCTATGGGTTAACCCTCTCTCCAGGGGCTTAACTCGTTATGCCAGCGTACACATCTATGGTGCTCTTCTGTCCTGTAGTTCCACATACAGACCCAGGAGAAGAACTGACTGATGCCCTGAAGGACCCAGTTGCAGAGGTTCCAAAGAAAAACGCACAAAACACCAGAGTGATCAGTTATAGTGCTTTATTAAAGAGATATAGCAAGAAACAATGCAGGATTCCTTGCCACTATGCCTCAGCCCAGATGCCAAACATCATGGCTTTGCCTGTGAAAGGCATTCAGTAACAACAACAACAACAACAACAACAACAATTGTACACCATTCATCTGGCTGGGTTGCTCCAGCATATATTGGTTACTTATACAAGAAACAAGCTACATAAACTGGCAACAACAGCCTAAATAACCACCCCTGGTCCATCCCCCACTCCCACCCATCTTTCAAACAAGGGAGTAGCTGACAAGCCAGCGTGAGAAGCCTCCCCTCTCCCAACTAGCTAAACCAGTGGTTCTCAAACTTATTTCTTTGGGCCACACTTTCAGAATAAAAATTTGCTTGCACCACACTGAATTTTTTATTAATAAGAAATACGCTGGAAAACAAAAGGAAACCACTCCTAGCAGTGCTTGATTTATACAGTATGGAACACAACTACTTTATAATATGATCATGGGACACCCAGAAATTATAAAACCAGGCAGCTACTTAAGAACATGAATCATTCTCAAAATATAATTATAAAGGAGCCTCTAACACACGTATGTTAAGTATATATACAAACTCAATGAGAGATGTGAGATAGTCGTACCCTGAAGTTGAACAAAATCCATTCTGGAAGTCCGTTTGACTTTCAAAACGTTTGGAAACCAAAATGCGGCTTCTGATTGGCTGCAGGAAGCTCCTGCAGCCAATTGAAAGCCGTGGAAGCTCCATCGGATGTTTGGCTTCCAAAAATAGCTTGCAAACCGGAACAGTCACTTCTGGGTTTGTGGTGTTCAGGAGCCAAAACGTTCGAGAACTAAGCTGTTCAAAAGCAAAGGTATGATTGTGATCTCATTTACGTTAGGTCTAATTTGAGACAAACTCTCATCTCCTCATCAACACAAAGAAACCTCTCTCTTTTCTGATTTTTTAAATATTTGTTAGAGTTGAAAACCCTTGTTCACAACAATAAGTCATGGAGAACAGCAGAAGACTGGCCACTGCTCTTGAAGAGAGACGTGGAGACTGTTTCCGGTTGTATATTGGAAAAAAGGCCAGAGGCATACTGCCGTGTTTCATTTTTTCTAAAAAATACCCACACCTGTTTTGATATTATACTGTATACCATACTATATACTATACTATACCACAGTGAAATGTTTAAATGTTTATTGGATTGTCCTTGAACCTTCCTGCCAATCTTGCCATCCTCTCCTGCCACACCCTTTGAGAACCACCGAGCTAAACCAAAAGCTAAGGCTTCAGTGCTCCAAAGCAAGCAGATAAGCACATGTGGTCTCAATCTGCACCTCATACCAATAAGTCCCATGGCATTTCCAGGCCTCCTGGGACATTCCCACCATTTGGTTCTACACAGGGGAAGCTGCACTTGGCGCACTGTGTGCAGTTCTGGTCAGCACACCTCAAAAAGGGAATTGCTATAGAAGTGGGGAAAGATTCAGAAAATAATTATCAAGGGCTGTAGCAACTGTCCTATGGGGCTCCTGGGGCTTTTTAGTTTTAGAAAATTGAGGTACCAGGTGATATGCTAGAATTCAATTGTGACTAAAATTATTAAGCTAGAATGAAATCATGCATGGGCTGGAGAAAGGGTCAAAGGTTTTCATCCTTTTCTCCTAAGAATGGAACTCAGGGGCATCTAATGAAGTTGCATGTCAAAAGATTCAGGATGGATTTTTTAAAGTCCTTTACGCAGTGCCTCATTGCCATAGGAGGGAGGGTGGCCCCCAACCTAGATGGCTTTAAACGAGGATTAGACAAATTCATGGAGGAGGAGGGGACTATGGATGGCTGCTAGCCAGGATGGCTCTGCTCTGCTTCCATGGTAGGAGGGAGTTAGGCATCTGATTACCAGTAGTTGTGGTCAGATGCTGCCTGGCTTCCCTTTGGGGCATCTGGTTAACCACCTTTGGCCTGATTCAGCCTCAGGACCCATCTTATGTTCAGTACTGTCACTCATGTCAACCAAAGTCAAAAAGGCTTTTCTTGCCCCTGATGCAGCTGGCATTGGTCACAGCAACCCTTTTATCCACCCAGTGCAGGAGAGGCCCAATAGGGAAAGGGGATGCAATCCCGCCCCCAAAGTCTAACAAAACAGTCCCTTAATCTCTACACACACAAGGGCAATATTCAGAAACTAGCACAAGAACATCTCAACCTAGAGGTGGCCATTCTCTATCAAAGGAATGCCAAAAGGAAACTCCATTGTGAAACTGCCAAATTACAACCAGGGCTGGCCTGGCTGCCTCAGGAACTTAGCATGGCAGTGCTAGGGGTTTCTTCTTCTAGTCAATCATGGCTTCTGTACATGGCCAGGGATTCCTTGGCATATAATCTAAGTTTAAACATACGTTGCCATATGTGCTACTTCTGGCAGTTCCATGGCCTCAGTCCTCATCACTGTTGACTGTTTTTGTTTCTGCCCAAACATAAACTCTTGTGCAGTAAACTCTTGTGCAGCATCTGATGAAGGAGACTCTAGGAAATGAAACCTTATATAAGAATACAGTTTCAGGTGCCACAAGACACTTGTTTCAACACTCTAGTTTCTTCCCTGTTCCGGTTCTTCCATGCACAGTAAAGAATTTGGTTATTAATCAAGTTCTGCTCACACTCAGTGAATTTTGATCGTTTCTCCCTCGGTGAACTCTTTTGTGTGATGTAAATTTTCTGCACCCTCTGAAGCTCTTTTCATATTCCATTCACTTTGAGGGTTTCTCCTCAGTGTGGGTTCTCAGATGCACAATCAGGCCATCAGTCCCACTAAGGCTCTTTCCACACTCCACACATTTCAATGGTCTCTCCCCTTTGTGGGTTCTTTGATGCAAAGTAAGTGATCCACTTTGATTGAAGCTCCTTCCACACTCCAGGCATTTAAATAAGTTCTCCACAGGGAAAGGAGGCCTGCTGTATGGTTAGCCAGTGAGCTAAATGGTGCCAAAAATCAGTGCCTCTGACCCTCAGAGTGGTTCTAAAAAGCATTTCAACTGCTAATAAACCATAATAACATCAAGATAATGCTTCAAGACTTACTGTGGACCTGAAAAGAAAGTGCCAAAATTGGACTTAAGAGATGAAACTAACAGTGCCTTCGCTGAAGACTCAGCTGAGCCCCCAGAACCTGACATGTCAAAGGCAAATACCTGCACACACAAAGGCACAAAAACAGAGAGGCCAATGCCTATATTAATATAACCCAGCAAACTTTTGCTTGGGATTGGAGCTTTAGCTTCGTTGAAAAAGAAAGTCAAGATGCTAGTGGGATAAATTGCAGACTTAACTAAAGCATCAATAAAGCCATGGATTTAGCACTAACTAACAAATCTGAAATCCAAATGCTGCAAATGACATCAGACAATTTTACAATAAAAATGGAATAACTTTCCAACAGAGACAGGCAAAAATAAAATAAAATAAAATTAGGGGCCTTCTGGAGAATGAGGAAGGGATGAGGAACATAGCATAATTTATCACAGACCGTGACGTGAAGTAAGCAATCCACTTTGACTGGAGCTCTTTCCACACTCCATGAATTTAAATGGTTTCTTCCTGGGTGGGTTCTTTGATGTCAAGTAAGAGTTCCACTGTCACTGAAATGCTTCCCACACTCCATGCATTACAACAGATTATCTTGTGTTTGTTCTGTGATTTGAATTAAGTGTTCCACTTTGATTGAAGCTCTTTCCACACACCAAGAATTAAAACGGTTTTGCCTACTTGTGGGTTTTTTGATGTTGCTTAAGAGTTGCACTCTGACTGAAGCACTTTCCACACTTCTTGCATTTGTATGGTTTCTCCTTTGTATGGATTCTTCGATGTTGAGCAAGGGTTCCACTCTGAGTGAAGCACATTCCACAATCCTGGCATTTATATGGCTTCTCCCCTGTGTGGATTCTTCGATGTCGAGTATAACTTCCACGCTCAGTGAAGCGCTTTCCGCACTCCTGGCATTCATGCGGTTTCTCCCCTGTGTGGATCCTTCGATGTTGAGTAAGGCTTCCCTGCTGAGTGAAACACTTTCCACACTCAGTACATCTGAATGGCTTCTCCCCTGTGTGGGTTCTTATATGTTGAGTAAGTGATCCACTCTGATTGAAATACTTTCCACACAAAGGACATCCATATGGTTTCTCTCCTGTGTGGATTCTTTGATGCTTAACGAAGCTACTGTGGCATGTTGAGAGTATTCCACACTCATGGCATTGAAATGATCCCCCTCCTGTGTTGCTGTTGTGTTGTGCATTAAACTGTGGTTGATACTGATATGGAGTGCTCTGCATGACATCTGTTTCTGGGCTTTCTTCTTTGAAATCTACCACCTGTATATTCAGGGGTACATCAGAAGAGGAGGAATCTGCACTGTCAGTATCTGAATCACTCTTCAAATGCTCTTGGGGTTCTCGATATACAAACATATCTTCCTCTTCTTCAGTCTTCACCTTTTCTAATGACACCAAGTGTGGCTCCCCATAATTCTCACTGTTCTGCTCACTGTCTGCTTTGAGGGAGGGAGAAAAAGAAAATGTCGTTCAAATTGCAAAGCAGAATAAGAGACTCTCATTATGGATTGGGCCCGGTTCCCTGCACCTCTGATTTTACAATTTTCTAGCATCTCCCCCTTCTTCTCTCTATGCCCAGTTGAACCTGAGGTTAGCTTCTGAATACGCTGCAGTTTCAAGACAACAAAACAAGCTTCTTCCTGCTCTGCCTCCCACCTTCTGTCATTAAGCACAGCTGTGCTTCCTTGTCCTCCTCATCGGATGCAACTGTGCTGGGGGTGGGATAGATGTGAGCAAGAATGGGGGAGAAACCAAACTGGGAACAAATCACTCCTCTGTGGTTCTTATGGATTTGGCTGTGGTCCAAAGTGATGGTCCATATAAATATAGGAACATGGAAATCTACCAGGTACTGAGTCAGGCTCAGTCCTGTACTCTCTGACTATGACTGCAGGGCTTCCGGTGAGGCTACTGGAGAGGCCAGAGAAAGCTAGGACCTTCTGCATTTTATTATTATTACTATTAAATTTGTATAGCGCCATCCATCTGAAGATCTCAGGGAGCTTCACATGCAAAGTATGTGCTATTCCACCGAGCTGTGGCTTTCCCCAAAGGAAAGGATGTCCCATGAAGCAGGGCAAGGCAAGGGTCATGACTTGGGGAGGGAGATGTGTCATGTGGGAAGTACTGAGTGCTATCAAGAGGGGCTTTGAGGACCACATCCCCCCCCCCCGCAAGCCCAGTCCAAGAACCCCAAATGGGCCAACTAGATGCAGATAGGGAGTCCAGAAGAAGGACATGAAGGCAACAGCTCTCCCTTCCCTCTCTGCCCAGAGCAAAAAAGGGCCCCACAACACAATAAAACACCTACCTGCTGATGTCTCCTCCTGTTTGAAATCCTGGAGAAGTGGACCTTGTCCTTCTTTGGGATCGAGGCCCAATTCTTTTAAGGAAAGAGACAATATTAGTTTCTGTTGGCCACGCAACATTCACCATTTCAAATGAATCTGTATTTATGACCTCAAAGCCAAGGACAGGGTTTTGTATTCCGATCCTATAAATATGCACCTCACGGCTTGGAGAAGGATGGTGGTCCCCACCGCTACAAGGTACGTGTCAGAACCCACAGTTCTTGCTGTCAGAAAGTTCTTCCTGGTGCTGAGATTCTGACTATGGTCAGGAAGAGGCTTCTGAGGGTAAGAGGTGTTCAATGGTGGAACGGAAGTGGGTGGGCTTAGAGGTTTTTAAGCAGAACTTGGATGGCTCAAGGAGGCTGTAATAGGCCCAAGGTGTGACCATGTGGACTCTATGGGGAAACTAGGATTTGAAACTGACATCTGAGCGTGTTCCCGTGTGCATCGGGCAGGCAGGGTGAAGGCAATGCAGAGCTCAGGCAGTGACCCTTGGTCACTCCTCTGTGGTTCTTATGGATTTGGCTGTGGTCCAAAGTGATGGTCCATATAAATATAGGAACATGGAAATCTACCAGGTACTGAGCCAGGCTCAGTCCTGTACTCTCTGACTATGACTGCAGGGCTTCCGGTGAGGCTACTGGAGAGGCCAGAGAAAGCTAGGACCTTCTGCATTTTATTATTATTACTATTAAATTTGTATAGCGCCCTCCATCTGAAGATGTCAGGGAGCTTCACATGCAAAGTGTGTGCTATTCCACCGAGCTGTGGCTTTCCCCAAGGGAAAGGATGTCCCATGAAGCAGGGCAAGGCAAGGGTCATGACTTGGGGAGGGAGATGTGTCATGTGGGAAGTACTGAGTGCTATCAAGAGGGGCTTTGAGGACCACATCCCCCCCCCCGCAAGCCTAGTCCAAGAACCCCAAATGGGCCAACTAGATGCAGATAGGGAGTCCAGAAGAAGGACATGAAGGCAACAGCTCTCCCTTCCCTCTCTGCCCAGAGCAAAAAAGGGCCCCACAACACAATAAAACACCTACCTGCTGATGTCTCCTCCTGTTTGAAATCCTGGAGAAGTGGACCTTGTCCTTCTTTGGGATCGAGGCCCAATTCTTTTAAGGAAAGAGACAATATTAGTTTCTGTTGGCCACGCAACATTCACCATTTCAAATGAATCTGTATTTATGACCTCAAAGCCAAGGACAGGGGTTTTGTATTCCGATCCTATAAATATGCACCTCACGGCTTGGAGAAGGATGGTGGTCCCCACCGCTACAAGGTACGTGTCAGAACCCACAGTTCTTGCTGTCAGAAAGTTCTTCCTGGTGCTGAGATTCTGACTATGGTCAGGAAGAGGCTTCTGAGGGTAAGAGGTGTTCAATGGTGGAACGGAAGTGGGTGGGCTTAGAGGTTTTTAAGCAGAACTTGGATGGCTCAAGGAGGCTGTAATAGGCCCAAGGTGTGACCATGTGGACTCTATGGGGAAACTAGGATTTGAAACTGACATCTGAGCGTGTTCCCGTGTGCATCGGGCAGGCAGGGTGAAGGCAATGCAGAGCTCAGGCAGTGACCCTTGGTCACTCCTCTGTGGTTCTTATGGATTTGGCTGTGGTCCAAAGTGATGGTCCATATAAATATAGGAACATGGAAATCTACCAGGTACTGAGTCAGGCTCAGTCCTGTACTCTCTGACTATGACTGCAGGGCTTCCGGTGAGGCTACTGGAGAGGCCAGAGAAAGCTAGGACCTTCTGCATTTTATTATTATTACTATTAAATTTGTATAGCGCCCTCCATCTGAAGATGTCAGGGAGCTTCACATGCAAAGTGTGTGCTATTCCACCGAGCTGTGGCTTTCCCCAAAGGAAAGGATGTCCCATGAAGCAGGGCAAGGCAAGGGTCATGACTTGTGGGAAGTACTGAGTGCTATCAAGAGGGGCTTTGAGGACCACATCCCCCCCCCCGCAAGCCCAGTCCAAGAACCCCAAATGGGCCAACTAGATGCAGATAGGGAGTCCAGAAGAAGGACATGAAGGCAACAGCTCTCCCTTCCCTCTCTGCCCAGAGCAAAAAAGGGCCCCACAACACAATAAAACACCTACCTGCTGATGTCTCCTCCTGTTTGAAATCCTGGAGAAGTGGACCTTGTCCTTCTTTGGGATCGAGGCCCAATTCTTTTAAGGAAAGAGACAATATTAGTTTCTGTTGGCCACGCAACATTCACCATTTCAAATGAATCTGTATTTATGACCTCAAAGCCAAGGACAGGGGTTTTGTATTCCGATCCTATAAATATGCACCTCATGGCTTGGAGAAGGATGGTGGTCCCCACTGCTACAAGGTACGTGTCAGAACCCACAGTTCTTGCTGTCAGAAAGTTCTTCCTGGTGCTGAGATTCTGACTATGGTCAGGAAGAGGCTTCTGAGGGTAAGAGGTGTTCAATGGTGGAACGGAAGTGGGTGGGCTTAGAGGTTTTTAAGCAGAACTTGGATGGCTCAAGGAGGCTGTAATAGGCCCAAGGTGTGACCATGTGGACTCTATGGGGAAACTAGGATTTGAAACTGACATCTGAGCGTGTTCCCGTGTGCATCGGGCAGGCAGGGTGAAGGCAATGCAGAGCTCAGGCAGTGACCCTTGGTCACTCCTCTGTGGTTCTTATGGATTTGGCTGTGGTCCAAAGTGATGGTCCATATAAATATAGGAACATGGAAATCTACCAGGTACTGAGTCAGGCTCAGTCCTGTACTCTCTGACTATGACTGCAGGGCTTCCGGTGAGGCTACTGGAGAGGCCAGAGAAAGCTAGGACCTTCTGCATTTTATTATTATTACTATTAAATTTGTATAGCGCCCTCCATCTGAAGATGTCAGGGAGCTTCACATGCAAAGTGTGTGCTATTCCACCGAGCTGTGGCTTTCCCCAAGGGAAAGGATGTCCCATGAAGCAGGGCAAGGCAAGGGTCATGACTTGGGGAGGGAGATGTGTCATGTGGGAAGTACTGAGTGCTATCAAGAGGGGCTTTGAGGACCACATCCCCCCCCCCCCGCAAGCCTAGTCCAAGAACCCCAAATGGGCCAACTAGATGTAGATAGGGAGTCCAGAAGAAGGACATGAAGGCAACAGCTCTCCCTTCCCTCTCTGCCCAGAGCAAAAAAGGGCCCCACAACACAATAAAACACCTACCTGCTGATGTCTCCTCCTGTTTGAAATCCTGGAGAAGTGGACCTTGTCCTTCTTTGGGATCGAGGCCCAATTCTTTTAAGGAAAGAGACAATATTAGTTTCTGTTGGCCACGCAACATTCACCATTTCAAATGAATCTGTATTTATGACCTCAAAGCCAAGGACAGGGGTTTTGTATTCCGATCCTATAAATATGCACCTCACGGCTTGGAGAAGGATGGTGGTCCCCACCGCTACAAGGTACGTGTCAGAACCCACAGTTCTTGCTGTCAGAAAGTTCTTCCTGGTGCTGAGATTCTGACTATGGTCAGGAAGAGGCTTCTGAGGGTAAGAGGTGTTCAATGGTGGAACGGAAGTGGGTGGGCTTAGAGGTTTTTAAGCAGAACTTGGATGGCTCAAGGAGGCTGTAATAGGCCCAAGGTGTGACCATGTGGACTCTATGGGGAAACTAGGATTTGAAACTGACATCTGAGCGTGTTCCTGTGTGCATCGGGCAGGCAGGGTGAAGGCAATGCAGAGCTCAGGCAGTGACCCTTGGTATTGGAATTGGCATGCTCAAAGCGGGTCACCTCTGAAACAGCCCAGAGTGTACAAAGCACTGCCACTTCATTGTGTGGGGGCTACAGAGTGGTGTGTACTGGAGTTGTGTTGAGAAGTCTGGTTTTGTACTTTTCCACATAAAGCATGTCCCCCCCCCCCACACCACCACCTCCATCTCCCTAAACTGGCAGGTGGACAGCTGGATCGTTCTGTGGTTCCCCTCTGGTGCCAAAAAGATTAGGGCCAGCCCTGCCTGAAGTTAGACACACCAACCTGCTATTAGCCTAAGCAGAGCAGTCCCCTGCAGCAGCCACCTGCCCAGCCAGCTCGCCTGGCAGCTGCCGTCATATGATGCTGCTATCTTCCAAAGCAGGTATGGGCGTCTCAGACTTGTAGGAGGCACAGGACTGCTCCACAAACACAAGCCTCAGAGAGGCCTTCGGTTGGACCACGGTGGCTTCAGCCACCCTAGTAACTAATTGCCATTTAAAAATTTATGTGTTTTAGAAATGATTTAGAAAAAGGGACATATTTTCACAGATGTGCAAAAGAAATAATAGACAAGTTACTAACAGAAAAGTTACTAACGGTGAGAGACAGCAAATGGGTGGGGCCCCTCCCTCAACTTGCAGATAGTGAGAAGGACAAAAGTCAGAGTTTAGAGCTGAGTCTGCAGTGTTGTGACGGGGAGGAAAGCAGCAAGCAGAGAGACAGAGCCATGCCAGATATCTCATTGAATCCAAGGCTGTGGCTATAGGAGAAACAAGACCCTTTTGGGGGTGTTAATGCTGTGAAGCCCTGCATCGTAGGCTCAGGCTGTATATATATGTAACCCATATATCATGAAGACACCGGTGTCTCCACTGTGCCTCATTTCCAAAAGGAAACATAAACCTTGGGTAGCCATCCGGAACCCCTGGAATCTCACACTGTTGGAGAATGGGGGTAGGGTGGGGTATAAGTCCCACAGAGGTACCATTCCCAGCAACCCTTAACACGCCACAGTGGCTGGAAGTCTCTGAGAGGGAAAATGTGCTTTGAATGTACTTTAAAGGTGCACGTTTGCATGCAGCCAAAGTGCTTTGTGATGCCTGCAGAATGAGCTGGGAGAGAAGCGCTAAGAAGCTGAGCAAGGATTACAAAAATAAACGAAGGGGAACTAGGCTTGGCCACAGGGGAGACCAGCCCAACTGGGCAAATGGGTCACTGCCCCACCAGTATCAGCCAGTGCCCCCTTCTCCACCAGCCCTGCCTTCTCACTTGCCACTAACCCATGGGGTGGCACTGCCCATCAGTTCCCTTCCCCTTACTCTCAGATTGGGCACACACAATTCCCGACTCCTGCTAGCTACGAGTCCCAAGGGGCACCAGCAATAAGTGCCAGGTGCAAATAAAGAACAAATCCCCTCTCGGCCATGGAACTCCTTGGTGACCTTGCCTTCTCTCCCCTCTCCGCAGCCTACCTTCTCAAGGCTACTTCAAGAGTAAATCAGGCCCATGAAAACACTTTGAGCTCCTTGACCAACTATGGAGGGAGAAGCTAGGATTCTGCACAGATGGGAAGGAAGCTCAGGATTTGGTGTGCGTGCATTTCTTCCCTCCCACAACAACCACAGGAATGCATCAAGGACAAAGGAGACAGCAGCCAGGTTATCTTGGAAAGGGAAGGAAGGGAGGCTTTTAGAAACTTTGCTCCCTGCAGCTGCAGCTGCTACAACTCTTTAATTCTTTTAAGCAATTTTTTTTCTGCTTGGAAAAGTGCTAATCAGAGCTGCTTCTGCACAGGAGGGGGCAAAGTGGACCCTACACACCACGAGGGTTTGTTAGTGGATGTGGAGAGGCCTGCCATGCTGCAGGCAGTAGACTGCCCAGTGGGAGGCAAAGGGTGACACCCCACAGGGATCTGCCCTTTTGCTACGTCTCCCAACCTATGGGGGGGCATGGTTTGCACCCACGAGACAGAAAGATTAATGAAGGACCATGAGCCAGCATGCTATAATGAGTAGTGCATGTGACCAGGGAAGAGGCAGCTAGGTATACTTGCCCCAGCCCTTGGACAGCTAAGCCAGGAACCAGCTGCTTTTTTTGTTTGAGTTTATAACTTTATTCTAACAAGACTCCTGCCCAGGCCTCATACAAGCTTTCCACAGGCCTGCATGTGACAGAGTGAGAGTGCCTGGTTTCAGCTCTTCAGGCAGACCCAAAACTTGAGAACTGTGGAAGGCTGTGGAAGCCTACAACTTGCACTTGAATCTCTTATGCAATAAAGACCTTGCATGGGTGGGGAGGAAACTAAAAAATAAATGGAGAGCTGGGGAAACCCATGGCTCTCTGCTCTCCATTTACTTATCCCTGCCTTCCAATGCACCCACCTACTGGGCTTTGGGAAGGCAGTGTGAAGCTCTGGCAGTGTTCCTAACCCTAACCCTCATGTGCCTATCCCAAAGCCTGAGAAACGAGGAGCTGCCTTCCTTACCGGCCTCTGAGAAGGCAGGAATGAGGGTTCTGGGAGCATCTCTGAGGATGGTAAGGAAAGTGCCGTCTCACTTGTCTGGGAAGGTTGAGGGAGGGTCCTAGGAAGCTCCAATGCCCTCCCATGTCCTCCCCAGACCCTGGTAAGCAGCCCTTTGCCTTCATTAACAGTTTTCATCATAATAAACATGCAAAACACAGATCAACAGCATTTTAAAAACTGACAAGACTTTCCAGAAGCATCCTCACGTTAAATTAGTACACAGTCCCAAGAGCAGGAACCCCCTCACTTGCTGCAGTAGCTTGCTTGGGGTTTCAACAGAATCCCTCCTCTTGAGTAAATCAAATAGTCCAGTCTACATTTTCCAGTCCATTCTGGTTAATTCACAGGTTCAGTCTTTCTGGGCAGCTGCTATTCCTTCTGGGTTGTAGGTCAGGGCCTCCAAACTCACACCCCATTCCCGAAGCAGTTCTTGCCTGTCACTCCAAGACACAATTTCAGGATCCCTGCTGCTTCCTCTCTGGTACATGAAAAATGCCCTTCTCCATTTCTCTCTCCCCCCCCCACCTCTACTTCATCCTCTGTCCTCAAACTCTAAATCAAAATATTGCTGCCTCTTTGCTTACTTATGGTGCTAAACAAAGACATGCAATTTCCCAAGTGACTTTCTTCCCCCAAACCCACAGGACTCTGGGTGACCCGGGGTCCTGCCCCCAGCACTGAGACAGGTCCCCTCACCCACAGACCATCTTGGGGCACCCAAGAGGTAAAATCTCTGCAGGCACTTCTGCAGACCCACCAGCCTCTTGCTGCTTCTGAGCACCCTCTTCCACTAGGGGAAATTCCACAGGAGCCAATTCAGCAGGAGCCAACTTCTCCCCTTGTGGTGCTATAACATCATGTCACCTTTAGGAACATCATTCTCCCCTACAAAAGGAAATTAGCAATTGACACTTCCCTCTCCACTCTGCAGGTATGGAATGGAACCCAGCAAATCAAGAGACAAAACACAATTAACCCCCTGGATGAGCTGGATGGGAAGTAGCAATAGGGGTGGAACATGCAAACAAGAAATTATTAGTTAAACCACAGAGCCTAGGGCTTGCTGATCAGAAAGTCGGCGGTTCGAATCCCCGTGACAAGGTGAGCTCCCGTTGCTCGGTCCCTGTTCCTGCCAACCTAGCAGTTCGAAAGCATGTCAAAGTGCAAGTAGATAAATAGGTACCGCTCTGGCGGGAAGGTAAACGGCGTTTCTGTGCGCTGCTCTGGTTTGCCAGAAGCGGCTTAGTCATGCTGGCCACATGACCCGGAAGCTGTACGCCGGCTCCCTCGGCCAATAAAGCAAGATGACACTGCAACCCCAGAGTTGGCCATGACTGGACTGAATGGTCAGGGGTCCCTTTACCTTTACAGAATCCCTGGAACACCTCAACCACTTCAAAGCAGGGAGCAGCTCTTAAGTGGGGCATGGGAAGGATGTCATCCTTAATACAGGAAGTTTATAATATTGTAAGTTGCCTCAATCCCTAGGGAACCTTTAGCCTCAGTTTGTCTAGTTACTCAAGTTAGTAAAATTTTAGGATGAAATCCAAAACCTCATAATGAAGTTTCACAGAAATCATTATTGTCAGTATCTGTATAGACCTACATTTTGTTTCCTCCAAACAATAATCCAGGAAACAAAATTCTGAACTTTTCATACCTTTATTATTATTATTATTATTCGTATTTTTATTCAAGATTTCTTGGTTTACAAAAGTATGTGCAATGTCTCTTTTTTCAAGTTACTTTTTCTACAGATCAGTTTCATTTGTTGAGACATTAGTATTACATTAGGAAGAAAAGGGAGAAAGAGGTGGAGGGGGGCAGGGTGGGTGGGGTGGCGATGTTTCTATTTTGCTTAATGTATGTGTGGGGTTTTTTGTCAGCGTCTTTTCATACCTTTATTGTAAAGAAAAAAGACATCCTAAAACATTGGCAAAATCTCTGACTGGAAGAAAACCAATATCTGGAGGGGACCAGATTGCAGAAGCTCCTTCCAAGTAGAGCAGCTTGATGTGTAAGATGCAGGAGCGGCTCGAGACATTTTTAGCCAGAGGCCTGAGGCAAGCCATGCAGTGGTGCCCCCCGCCCCGCCCCCGCCAGTTTAGCGAGACGGAGGTGATGGTGTGGAAGAAATGTTGCTTTATTGGGAGAAAGTACAAAACCAGACTGCTAAACACAACGCCAGTATACGCCACTCTGTAGCCCCCACCACAATGAAATACTGTACATTCCTAAAGCGTCCGCATACATTAGCTCAGAAATCCTGATAAGCCCTGCTTAGGTTAGTATGGTGTTTGTTATTCCTATACAGATTGGTCGACTGACTGTTCAGGGGTAAAAAGAGAGGAGGGAAAGCTAGAATGGAAAAATTTCCATCCGAATGCGTAATTACCCTTTTCTCTAGCCATGTCCCCATGCTAACTTTCCCTCGCCTCTCTCCTCTTAAAAAGAATCAATATATGTGGCTATTACTATCATTTACTTGGGCTTGTACACTGCAGCAGGTCATTGACAAATTCTTGGTTGTGCGTCTGTGTGTTGCGGTGCTTTATTCGGCTGCAAATGTACGTACAGGTTTTTGCAGCTTTCTCTTTTAATTTTTTTCACTTATAGAAATTTGCAAAAATAAGCAATAATTCAATAACATTGCAAATTAAACATTCATTCAGTCAACATAGGATTTCGCCACCATCCATGGTTCCCCCAACTTCCAATTCTTGCTGCATGTTACAATTATTCTATGCCTTCACTTCTTCACAAAACCCCCCCATCCCTTTGCCGCTTTCTCAAGAGGCGGGGCTGTGCAGAGGTCTCCCCGCCGAGCTCAGGGCCAGGGAATGGGTTTGGAATTGCAGCTAATGCACATTTTCCAATGCAGGCTTTCCCACCTTTGCAGTTTTGTCTTGCTAAAGTCGCTCCCGCGCCCCAGTTTGCCAACCCTTTTCTGCTCTTAGGCTGGACGGGGCTCAACAAGTTAATTCGCAGGCTCCCACGATCTTCACCAGGCTTACTTTGGTGTAAGGGCTATTTACTGTCCGGGAGCAAGGGAGGGAGGGGGATCACAACGACGAAAAATGATCCTATTGCGAATGATTTAACAGCAACAAAAAACGTTTGTTTCCTTGCCGCACAAATAAAATCTTACAAAGTTCAGCCGAGAACGGGAAAATACGAGGTAATAAAAGCTTGATAGTGATTAAGTCTGCTTGCTTTAAGTTTGGCGGGGCTTACTCCCGAGCAAACGCGTAGGGGTGCTAAATTTGCAATCCTGTGCACGCTTATTTCCGAGGAAACGAAAATTTCACTGTTGCAACCCTGTGCAAACTGTATTTCAAAGGAATCCTTCATAGATCACAGGAAGACTTGCTTCCGAGCAAGCGCGACAGGATGGGGACCGCAGTGCTCTGTGCACTTCCTTGGGAGCAGGTTCCGTTGACCTTGACGGAACTTACTTCCGAGGAAACATGCGAAGGATTTGAATGCTGGAGACTTTAAAGATGGGTTTTAAAAAAGGCTACTTTTCCACCTCAAATGCAACGAGTAAATAATAATAATAATAAATTTATTTGTACCCAACCCATATTGTTGCCCCAGCCACTCTGGGATGCTTCCAACATATATAAAAACATAATAAAACATCACGCATTTAAACATCACACATTTAAAACTGTGCCTCTCCGTTTGGGTCTCCTAGCTCCCACCAGTCCCATTCAACGTGTCCAATGGCCAGGGATAATGGATATTGTACAGGAGTCTGGAAAACACCCGGACAGCCACAGGTTCCCCGCTCTTTGCACAAGGTCTTTCAGAAGCAACAAGCCTGTGTGATCCAGGTTCCTAACTGCGCACACAGAGGGAAATCGGCCCTAAACCTTGCCCTGCTATTCTTTTCTCTCCCGGTTTATTTCATGTGGGGCGGGAGGGGGGTCATTCAGACACGCAGCTCCCTCCACATCCTGACTGCCTGTCACGTTAGAGTGCAGGAATCATAGAGTCACGGAATGGTAGAGTTGGAAGGGATCGCGAAGGTCATCCAGCCCCGCAGCCGTGCAGGACTCTCAGCTTAAGCATCCATGAGGGATGGCCACCCAACCTCTGCTGAGAAACCTCCTAGGGTCCGCCACCTCCCCAGGGAGCCCTTTCCAGTGTTATAACAGTGTCCATTATAATAATCACCATTTTTACTTGATTAGGATGTGGTGCGGAAGGGCGTGCTGCTGGGAGTTGAGCCCCGAAGCCCCGCTTCATAGCTCAGCTATTAACTCCTGAGATACGTTACACTTCATCTAAACCACTCCACCAATTTGTATGGGAACCATCAATACGTGCTAGGACAGGGTGGCTCGTTTTGAACTGTATAACATACAGTGGTACCTCGGGTTACAGACGCTTCAGGTTACAGACTCCGCTAACCCAGAAATAGTACCTCGGGTTAAGAACTTTGCATCAGGATGAGAACAAAAATCACGCAGCGGCAGCGGGAGGCCCCATTAGCTAAAGTGGTGCTTCAGGTTAAGAACAGTTTCAGGTTAAGAACAGACCTCCGGAACGAATTAAGTTCTTAACCCGAGATACCACTGTATAAGGCAATGGGGTGTGTGTGTTTCAAATCCGATTGCCTTCCATTTATCTTTTTTTGGGGGGGGGGAGAGATGTTGCATATCGTCCGTTTCCCCCCGCAACTTCTTGCTCACAGCAACCCTGCTAAGTAGGTGAGGCTGGGAGTTGGCAGTCGGCTCAACGTGACTATGTAGCTGGGATTTGAAGCTGACCTCTGCGTGTGTTACCTAAGCAGAGGGGTCTCCTGCAGCGCCCATCCGCGCAGCCAACTCACCTGGTTGCTGCGGACATTCGCTGCCGCTACTTTCCGAAGGTCCCTGCAGGAGCGTCGCCCACAAGCCCAGGGTGCGGGACGGCTCCTCAGACATGGTTCTCTCGCCCTGGGTTCTCGCAGAGGCCTCTGTCAGGCTGCAATGGCCACAGCTACCCTGGCGACTAACGGGCAGGCGCTCCGGCTCTGCCCCGCAGGTCGCGTTCCCCAACCTGCGCAACCTTCTGGAAAAGACCGAAATTACGCACCAGTGGCCGCCAATGAGAGCCGAAAATGAACTGTCCTCCGCCCCGCCTCTCTGCCCCTCCAGATTCCGCTGCCTCTCTGACGTGAGAAAACCCTTCTTATCAATAGCCATAACAAAAATATTGTTGCTTTCCTTCCTCCCGGAATTCTGGGCACTGCAGTGTAGCCCTGACACGGGTACCATTCCCACCAAGCCTCAACAAGCTACAGGGAAATGTGGGTCGAATGTACTCCAAAAGTATAAGTGTGTATGAAGCCAAAGTGCGTTGCAAGTTTGGAAGAAGAAATGTGGGGGGTGGGGTGCAGTGTCAGTGAAACTGCCTGCAGAAGGAGCTGCGCAAGGCTTGGAAGAAGCAACGAAGGGGAACTAGGCTTGGCCACAGGGGAGACTGGCCCAACTGGGCAAACGGGTCACTGCGCCACCAGTTTCAGCCAGCGCCCCCTCCTCTGCCCGCATTGCCTTTTTCACTTGCTCTCACCCACGGGGTGCGGTGGCCTCTCGGCCCCCTTTCCCACACTCTCACGTTGGGCACACACCACTCCTGGCTTCTGCTGGCTTCGCGTTTCTTGCCTACCCTTCGGCAGCCGGTCCCAGGGTGGGTTCCAAATGTTTAAAATCCAGTATTAAACCAGTGTAGAGCAAACGCAGACACGGGACGTTTTTAATGTTTGACGCTGTCTTTATCTGTGCTACAAGCATCCCAGAGTGCCTGGGGAAACCCAGCCAGATGGGCTCCGGTACAAACAAATTATTATTATTATTACTCGCAGGATCAGAGAACTGTAGGGCTGGAAGGGACCCTGGGGGTTATCTAGATTCTAGCCCAATCCCCTGCAATGCAGAAAACGCCGGCTTCCGCTGGCTTCCATACTGGAACAAACCTGGCAAAAAGTGGGGCTCGCACGGTAGCCTTGCAAAGGGAGGCGCTCCGCGCCCCCGAGGATGGAGGCTGGCTGGCGTGAGTGACACTGAGCCTCCTCTCCCCCGCGGAAAGGGAAGTTGGAGGCTGGGCCGGGGATTGTCGCTGCCCAGGCCCCACTGCAGAGGGGCAGGGAGCGAGGGCCGCTCCGTGACGAAGGAGATCGGGCTGGCCCTCCGCTGTCCGCGGTCCCGGCCTGGCTGCTATCGGGCAATGGGCTTCCTTTTTCGCCCTGCAGGGTGCTGAAGGAGTTCTAGGCGGCGTTAAGCCACGATGCTGTCGCCCTGCAGCTGGGAGCAGACGCCGTCGCTGCCAACCCCATGTGCTCCTTCAACTTGACCCCGAGCGCCTTCGCTAGTGCCTGGAGCACGTGCTGCAGCGGCAGCGCCCGATCCTCACCTTGGGACACACGAGCCAACTCCTTGGGGACGAGGTCACTTGGGCACCCTGAACAAAACATTTGAGGGGGCAGCTGCCCCCGCCGGCAGCCCCCCAAAGTGGATGGGCAGTGCCATTCAAATGCGGTGTGTGCAATGTCCCCCGCTCCGTTTTCTTCAAACTGGCACCTGGCCCTGTCCTGGGAGGCGGCGAAGGCGGAGGGGTCGCGGGGATGGTGCGTGGCTGCGATCCCGCAGGAATCCCTCTCCCACTGCAGACCTCCTTGCGGTCCTGTTCCTCCTGGGCTTGCTTGGGCCTCCAAGTCCAGCTCGGAACCCCCTGGGCAGCTTCTCAAGGACCAGTTTATTTTGAACCCTGGAGCCAGGACTCCCCCCGCCCTCCGTCTCCCACTTGGGGAGCAGCTTTGGGGTGTTACTGTTATTCGAAGAATTGCAGAGCTGGGAGGGACCCTGAGGGTTGTCTAGCCCACCCCGCTGCTGTGTATTACTATTATTTATTTATTTCGTTTCTATACCGTTGTGTTATTGTTGGGAGGGGAATCTTGAAGCAGTTTACAATCTACATTTTAAAAATCCAATAAAACAACGCAGGAGAAAGCATGACTGAAGAAAGTCAAATCTAAAGTATACATTCAAAGCAACATGATTAGCAGGAAACTAAAACATTGTCTTAAATATTTCAAAATGAAACATTACAAGGGAGATCAATTACAGATTGCACCTACAATGCAGCAGCTGAACGGTTGCATTGGCTTGGCAGCGGACTGGATGGGAGCCAACAAACAGTCTACCTAAGTTAGGTACACAGATTGGGGAGGCAGTTTCCTAATATGGCCCTCTGCAAAGGGGAGGGGCTTTGGGAATGAGGCATGCGGCTCTGCGCAGGTCCTAGAGCCCTTCTACTTCTTTCCCAAAGCTGGGCAAGCACTCCTAGGCCAGTGATGAAGAAGCTTTGAGAGACTGATTGCCCAAAACCCGCTTCTTGATTGCCAAGTGCCAATGTGGCAATTTAACTGGAATACTGAGGTTTTAGTTTAGAAAAAACAACTGCTACAATGCTAGGAAATGCCTTGTAGATTTCCCGACGGCTTGTAGGATTGTCTGCAAATGTTGTGGAATTTTCTAAATGCATTTTTTTCGATTTGGAAAATATTTCAGCTGCCCAAGGTCTCTTTCAAAAACCTGCAGTTTTCTCTGCAAGGTTTTGCTATCACAAAACATCCTTTCTGCTGTTTCCCCTACATCTTGTGGTTGTCTGTTCAGTAATTTTATCTTTATTAGGGAAATCATAAAAAAGGGAATTACTCCCAGACAACAGGACCATTTTGATAATATCCCCATCAGAGAGGGGCTTACCATGTTTGGCTATGCACAGTGAAATTTGAAAACTGGCAGCTGTCAGATGATCTGTTCTAGCAAGAGAGTTGCAAGAACTAAGATACTAGGAATGATATTTCCTCAATTTGCCTTTGAGAAACTCTTTTCTTTCAGTTGCACCAAGCTGGGCAACGCTTTTGTGGTTGGTGTCAAAGTGCCGTCTGACACTTGATGTGTGACACACAACACTTCCATTGCACAAAAGACAGAACGCTTCCCCATTGAGTTCAACCATCTTCCACTCTCTGTTCTTGTCCCCCCCCCCTTTTCTCTGTATTCCTTTTTTGGGTCTTCCTGACTTGGAGTCTACAAAAATAAAATTAAAAATAATAATGAAGCACCCAATACAAATCTATCCCTGTGTTTGCATCATGACGGCAAGCCTCAATTCCTGGCTTTCTAGTAATGAACTCTGTGCTGGGGCGACAGCACATGTGCCCACAGAGAGGGCTCTGAGTGCCTCCCTGGCACACATGCCATAGGTTTGCCACCACTGAAATAGGCTTTGGGAAGGAGGCAAGATGGCGACCTCTTGGCCCCTGCGCCCTGTGCAGGAGAAATAGTACTTATTTCAGTGAATGTTTTTATTAAGTTTTTAGATATGTTATAAGCCATCCAGAGTAGCTGTGTAAACCCAGTCAGATGGGCGGAATATAAATAATTAAATTGTTATTATTATTATTATTATTATTATTATTATTATTATTATTATTCCTTTCCTCAACAGTTGTATAGCTCATTGTCCACTACATAAGGAATGCTGTGCCATTGGCCAGCATCCCCTGGCAGTGCTGTTGGCCTGCTGGTGAAGACATTCTGTCTATGTTGCTAAGTCTTAAGGTTATTTGATGCCATCGATAAATTAACTTTGTTTTCTCTTATGTGGGTTTATAAAGGTTTCTTTGTGTGGAAGGATCTGCAGCTAAACCCCAAATGCATAACTGCTAGAGAGTTGCGAACAGGGGACTGTGTGATGTGGTGGGAAGCGGAACAATACAGGAGTGATTTAATCTTGTTCTTGTCACTGCACATGCTTCTTCTTACCTGCAGTGGGATAGGATGTCTGTGGGCTCTCCTCCAAACTCCCTTTTGAACTGGACTATGGATTTTTGTAACCTTTAAGGATTATCACCTGCCTGATTTTCATTACTGTATCTGTTCAATCCTGGCAAGACTTTTGATGTCTTTAACCCTTGTATTTTCTTGTTTCCTGTTCAGCCTGAGCGGCCTCTTTGTTAATAGGGAAACATAAAACAGGGAAAAGGTAATCCAAGTCTGCCGCCCTAAAGCATCCTTGGATATCCTAATTGTTCCAGAAGGTTATGCAACCTTGTCCCAAAAGCTTCTGTAGAAAATCTATGCACAGATGGTGACTTTCTCTGCTGAAATAGATATTTGCTTTCTCACACAAGTAAGAAAAAGAGGAAGGATAATTACTAAATAAAATATCCTCTCCTAAATCCATCCATTTGCCCTCAGATTGTTCTAATGAAGTGTTTCAATGAAGCGTTTTTCTTCTTTTCACTTTCTTCTTTTTAATTAATTTTTATTGATCTTGATTTTTCACATCACACATAAAAGTGCCCAGGTTTCTGCCCCAGGGAGGCCATGGTGCAGCTGTGCCCTGGAGGATCACTTCCAGACAGTGACGAAGCTGCATGGGGGGGGGGGCAGAGAGCAGGTGGGGGCATGGTGCACATCCAGGGGGTGTGGCACGTTGCCTGCGGAGGTGTGGCATGCTGCCCGTGGGGGCGTGGCGCCCGGCGCGGTGGGGGTGCGTGTGGCATGTGTTGGGGGTGGCCGCGATATTACCCCCCTCCCCAATGGTGCCGGGGGCGGTGCACTCCCCCCACCCACCCCCGTTCCTCCGCCAGTGCTTCCAGTTAATACATAAAACTGCATAAAACACATTAACCACCACTTTGCTTGGAAATATCAAATCAGATTCTGACAAGTCAACCCCCCCCCCCAATATTTCCACATATCACCATGAGATTTCAGGAGTAACGAACAGTCCTCTTGAGGCGTATAATCCAAAAAAAGGTTGCCATGCTTTATGAAAAAGATGAGTATTGGGAGTTCCCATGGACCATTCTAATCTGACACGTTAACTTTTCAGTCAGGGCTGTTGTCCACATCCTAGAAGGCCACACTTC